TGTAGAGAAACTGATCATGTCTTTTTTTTCGGTCTTACCCCTTTTGATCGCGGGCTGGACCGACAAAACTTCCTTCATGTGCTCCGCTTTCTTGATCATACCTCGGAGTTCACATTTACGCGCCGGTTCCACAATGCCGTGGATAACATTAACAATGCCCTGAGGGGGTGCCTCCAAGTCATCCGGTCCACGCGGATCAACCGGAGCAGGATGCGCGGCTTTAACATCCCCATCAATGTAAAGGTCCAAGTGTCCGGCTACGACTAGCTCCTCCAAGTGTTGCTTCAGAGGCAAACAATCCTCTGTCCGGTGTCCGCGCTCCTAGTGAAATGTGCAGCAGTACCGTGGATTGAAACCCTTCTGTGCATTGCCTAACTTAGCAGGAAACCGGACATAATCCTCGTCACGGATTTCACTGAGTATGCGATAAATTGGAATCTTAAAGACCGTGGTGATACCTGTCCTCGCTTTCAGCCTTCTGTTCGCATCAGCTACGTCGTCGCGGGGGTATTCATCTTGGTCATTCTGTCAACCCTTACCCCGGTTTTGACGATTTGAACCTCGATCAGACTCCTCGGCGGGATCATTTGAACGGTTGGTCTCCTGTCCGACCGTGTGCACCTTGCCAGCCGACCTCTTATCTGTTGCTACCGGAGTTGCCTTCGCGGTAGATGTTGCCGCATCATCTTCTACTCGGATGTGCTCGTTGATGCGCTGCATTAATTGGCCCATGGATGTCGGCTGGTGCATAGTAAGCGAGTCCCGCAGCCTATGTCCGACCGAGAGACCAAGTTTATATTGAGTGATTGCCAGGTTGACCGGGCAATCCAAGATCTCATTGAAAGTTTCCCAGTATCTGGAGTTGTATGCCTTAAGTGTGTCGCTCGGCTCCATCTTGACACTGAGAAGGTGGTCAACTTCCTTCGGCGTTTTGGTGTTGGTCTTGAAACGTGTTACGAAGGCTTCCGCCAACTGTTGCCATCCTTTGGTGCTTCCCTCCGGCAACCTCTCGAACCATTTCAAGCCCATCTCACCCAAACTTGACGGGAAGATAAGGCACATAAGAGCGTCATTTCGCTTATGTCCGGCCATGACCTGTCGGAAGTGGCTTACATGCATATATGGATCGGTTTTTCCGTCGTAGAGCGTGAACTTTGGCTGGTGGAAGCCCGTCGGAAGCGGTGTTGTTTCTATCTCCAGGGAGAAAGGAGTGGTGCTCAGCCTCGCCAAGTCTGTATCTAAAAGGAGAGGCGCAGCTAGGCAGGGTGGAGGCATTCTGACCTCTTCATTGGCGTGAACCCCATAGGATAGCCGCTGGAACGTCGGCATCCTCTGAGCCTCTCGCCGGCAAGCTCATTCCTTCAAGACTACCCGCAAATCCTCTGAACGAGCGGAATAAGAATACATCGACGTCGTCGCCGGACGTGAGGGTTGATAGGTGCTGTCTTGCGCGCCGGACCTCTCTACGTGTGCGTCGGAATCTCCAACCTTGTAACTTCTGGAGATTGAGATGGACGAAGTACGCCACTGGCTCTGACTGCCTAAACGGCGGGGTTGGGTGCGCTCATTGTGGTCTCCCACTCCAGCTACACCCTTCCCTTTGACATGCTACTTAAGATCCTCCATCTCCGCCGCCATTCGCCGGATGACGGCGTCTTGGTCCCTTAGCTTGTGTTCCAGTCGTCTGGCGTGCGATTCTCTCTGCCGCCGGTGACCGTCTGGACTCCGTGAATGACCAAAGCTTCTTCCGCGCTTGTCCTGTGCGTCTCTTGAATGTCCTCCTGGAGAAGTCTCCAAGTCCGCCATAGGAGGGATGGCGGGATGTCCTTCTCTCCGTCTGCCTGACTTTGGGGTAACTCCGTTGATGACAGATAACGGAATCTCGTCGTTGTTCGCCATGGACGGCGATCAGATGAGCCTGGAAGACAAGGTTTTGTCTGTCAAGTTCCCACAGACGGTGCCAATTGTATGGGGAGCAAATATTCAGGCAAGCCCGTACTCCTTTCTTCCAAGTACCTGTCAGTCCGATCGTCCTACGAGCACAACGGTGGTGAGCTACACGGTGGTATGTAGCCAAAAAACCCCTCCGACGATCAAATTAGCACACACACACACACACAGGGATAGATAGAGAGGAGAGAGTTGAGTATAAGTGTATATCTCACCAAACGTTCATGTGTCCAGGCATGGGGGGCGCAGACTCGCTTATATACCTTCTACGCCTCAAATCTACTCCCATTAGTCTCTCGACACGTGGTGCTGCTATCCCATCTGTCAGCACAAATCTAGCTGATCATCACCTAACCAAACTGCCAGCCCACACCACCGGAATCTCGGCAACCAGGCTGCATCATCTCGGCTGCCAACGGTCGTGTCGCACAACAAGCTAGAGTGCTCCGCTCGCCGAGCTCAACAACGACCGAGCTCAGTTGTATTCCGGCATAGCCGAGCTGAAAACTGGTTGAGCTGGTAAACCGAAGACCTTTCCAGCCAGGCTGGAAGCGTGAACTACGGGAACAGGACCGGCTTCCATTATCTCGGCCAAATTACCCAATTAGCTTGATTCCCACATAAACAAGCCAAGTAGCTTGGTCCTAGCATGGTCCTGGGCCATTACCGAGCACAACCCTCTCCGGCTAAGCCCAAGCTACCACGGCCCACAACATGTTCAGCCCATAGTCTGTCCGGTCATTACCATGGCCCAATCCAGCTCAAAAATTTCCCTCTCAGTAACCAATTATTAGCCAAAGGAAACCCAAATTTCACTTTCTTTACTATTTCCCACACTTTCTCACTAACCAAACAGGACAGGATTTTTTTGCTACAAACTACTGATTTATGGGTTGATAAAAATATGATGAAACTACTGATTTATGAGCCAATTTATGGTGGAATTTCGACCTATTTATGGGATGAAAGTTTAAAAATCTAATGAAATTTTAAATATTTGAACTGATAAAGAAACCTAAAACTAACCCAACACATTGAAAAAACAATGGAAAGTTTGAAAAATCTAAAATCTAAATCTAAAATCTAAAATCTGATGGAAGTTTAAGTATTCATGGGATGAAAGTATTCATGGCAGAAACTTTTATTCAATTTGGTCTGATTTTGATAAGAAAAATACAACAATAATATCATGGCTTTACATAGATATCCATAGAGAGCAAAATAAGAGAGAGACACAGAGAGAGCATACCATTTCTGCTCACAAATTCATATGTTTATAGATTCATATATCTATAAACATTTCTAGGAGAGATAAAGAGAGTAAACTCACGGGGATGTGCCGGAAAGCGCCGAAGCCGGAAAACTTGTTTCTGGGGATGATGTCTCAAGTGAAACGACTTTGAATTTCTGCGGATTTCTGTGAATAAAACCCATCAAATCCATTTCAAATTTCAGAAATCAAAACCCATCAAACTTTTTTGGTACAAACTACTGATTTATGGGTTGATAAAAATATGATGAACCTACTGATTTATTGGCCGATTTATGGTGGAATACTCGACATATTTATGGGATGAAAGTTTAAAAATCTGATGAAATTTTAAATATTTGAACTGATAAAGAAACCTAAAACTAACCCAACACATTGAAAAAACAATGGAAAGTTTGAAAAATCTAAAATCTAAATCTAAAATCTAAAATCTGATGATTCATATATCTATAAACATTTCTAGGAGAGGTAGAGAGAGTAAACTCACGGGAATGTGTCGGAAAGCGCCGAAGCCGGAAAACTTGTTCCTGGGGGTGATGTCTCAAGCGAAACGACTTTGAATTTCTGCGGATTTCTGCGAATAAAACCCATCAAATCCATTTCAAATTTCAGAAATCAAAACCCAACACACTTTTTTGGTACAAACTACTGATTTATGGGTTGATAAAAATATGATGAACCTACTGATTTATGGGCCGATTTATGGTGGAATACTCGACATATTTATGGGATGAAAGTTTAAAAATCTGATGAAATTTTAAATATTTGAACTGATAAAGAAACCTAAAACTAACCCAACACATTGAAAAAACAATGGAAAGTTTGAAAAATCTAAAATCTGATAATAGTTTAAGTATTCATGGGATGAAAGTATTCATGGTAGAATCTTTTATTCAATTTGGTCTGAGTTTGATAAGAAAAATACAACAATAATTTCATGGCTTTTCATAGATATCCATAGAAAGCAAAATAAGAGAGAGACAAAGAGAGAGCATACCATTTTTGCTCACAAATTCACATGTTTATATATTCATATATCTATAAACATTTCTAGGAGAGATAGAGAGAGTAAACTCATGGGGATGTGCTAGAAAGCGCTGAAGCCAAAAAACTTGTTCCCGGGAGTGATGTCTCAAGCGAAACGACTTCGAATTTCTGCGGATTTCTGCGAATAAAACCCATCAAATCCATTTCAAATTTCAAAAATCAAAACACATCAAACCCCAACAAATTAAAATAGTTTACACCAAAATCATTAACTTTAAAGCAAAACCTGGAGAGTATCTGTGTATTTTTTCCTAATGTAAGAGTTTAGGTTATTCCTACACTCTTCTAACTCATTGAGGGTATTGTTCAATGGAAACTCAAAAAAAGGAATGTGAGACATGTATTTCATAAAAAAGCAAAGTTACATTATTAATTGGAACATGATTAAACAACGTTATAATGGATAAGAATTTTTTAAGATTGTAAACCTTACCTTGTGTTTAATATCCATTTTTGGATGAATATATTGTTTTGAGTTCCCATCAAGAAAACAAACCAGTTGGAAACATTGTTAATTATAAAGGTTAAAAAATACAAAATAAAAATAAAAGATAGAGAAAAACCAATATAATATTTTGATTCAGATTAAAAAATATACATGATTCCCTAGCTAGAAAATTCAAGTCATATTAAATAAAACCTCCAGCGAAGCTCACTAATTAAATCATGAATTTACCTTTATAACTATAACTCATGCCTCAATCTGGAAGAGTTCACACTGGTAAATAAAAAAATTACAAATTTCAATCAATGTAAAGAGTGTCTCGACTCCGTACGATATAATATTAACACCTAAGTTCAATCCCGTTCAGTTAGTTAATTTTATTTATTTTATTTACTTTTAACAAAAAAATAAAAAAAATAAAACAAAGAAGACCATGAATTACACTACTCAAGAAAATAACATAACATCCAAACAAAGATAAAGAATTACATGCCTAGAATCAAACCATGACAAAATTGGACTTTCAGCATGTTTAACTAATAAAGATAAAAACACATTAGCATATTTTGTAGACCAAAAGAGAAATAGTTGTATAACCTAATCAGCATAATCCACAAATCTAAAAGTAAATATTTGAAATCCAATACACAAACTGAAGGAAAAAAAGAAAAAGAAGAAAAAGAAATCTCCCTTAAATTAGCAAAAACTTTAGTCTTCCCTGTGGATCGGTTAGTGCCCTGTTGATTTCTTATAATTTATTTTTTCAAACTCTTGCTAGACCTTTTAATTCCACAACACTGTTCAGATTCCATAATAAAAAAATAAAAAAATAGGAGTATGATGCTTTATCGATCATGACTCACATCAACTTATAACTTCTGCGTATATCACTTGCATAAGATAATGAAATTTTACAATGTTTTCTTGCCTACATAATACTGTTATGGAGGGAAATTATCTCTGGCAATCTCAATTTGGAGTTCAGCCTCCATGTCATGTACTTCTCAAAGCAGTTTTTAGTTTTTCTGCATAGAAACAATTTACAAAGTATATGGAGCTCAACTGTTCATAAACTTCAGGGGTGTGAAAAATTAGGGCTTTCTGCTATATGAGAACAATAGTTAGATTAAGTAAAATCATGCGAATGCAGTTAAAAATCTTGATCAAAGTGAAGCATGTATATACATAAATGTGTTTACCCTTCGCAATGTTGCATGAGGCTAAGATGGTAGCTGTGCGATGGTTGAGATGGGGAGTGCGGTTGCTACAGTTGCTACAGTTGTTGCGATCAAGATTTCGACAAAGGGTCGCTAAGGAGGGAGGAGCAGAGATGGTTGTGAGGAGTGCGGGTGTCTGCGAAAAGGAAGAGGCAAATCTGCTGCTGTGGTCATGGTGGAGAAATCTGTGTACATCAGCATGTTTTGTAGACCAAAAGAGAAATAGTTGTATAACTTAATCAGCATAATCCACAAATCTAAAAGTAAATATTTGTAATCCACTACACAAATTGAAGGAAAAAAGAAAAAGAAGAAAAAGAAATCTCTCTAAGAAAAAGAAAGCCTTAATTTAAGTGTAGAAGATAAGGCGAAAATGGCCAAATAATGTTTCATAGTAGTGGAAACAAAACAATTCCAAACCAAAAATTAGTATGTGAACCCAGTTTACAAACCAAACCAATATGAAGGACTCATATAATTTTGATGCTCATATAATTTCCTAAAATGAGAATAAAATTCCAAACCAATATGAAGGACTCACAGATGTCAATGAAATGCCACTGCAAAAATAACAGATGTCAATGAACATCCACCTAAACTACAAAACCATGGAGAATTGGACAAAAATTCCAAACCAATATGATACGCCACCACCGTCAACTACAAAACCATGGAGAATGTAAACAACAAATCCAAACAACTACTTCCATTTCTCAGAAAAAAGGGAAAAACACAACAGTGACCAAGAGGGAGTCGAAGGATATTCAACCTAGAAATAGCAATTTATATAATCAATGTAATTAGTGCTCATGAACCCCAAGTAAGACTTAAACACAATTTACACATAATTCAGGAAATTTGAATAAGGAGTTGCTAAAGGGACAACAAAATGTGAAAATAAAATAGTTAGAGAACTTAATGGTCATACAGAAAAGTTTACTGAGCTTATGGAACATAAATGGGAAACATGGATTTGGAGAGAAGAATGACAACAGGAAGGCCATGGCAGAATTCACAATGACATAGGATCATATGCATACATGACTATCGAAAGAGAGAAGAACATTTAATCAACATTATCTTCCAAAAAAGCAGCAGGTTAAGTCTCTTAAAAGTTGGACCTGAGAAGTGAGAACTAAGTTGAAGCTATCCTAAATGTCTAGATACCATCTTGACCTATAAATTCATCCAGACAGATATTTAAATAAACTATATATGTTTGAAATCACATAAATCAGCATGTCTAATTGGCTTATTGAGGTGCGCAAGTAATATTACTGGAATCAAATTGCATCGGATGCTGTGGTCAGCGGCGTCGTCAATTTCTCACTCCTCGGAAACTCTGATCAATTCCTGGGCGAGTAGTGCTATTAAATCCATCTCTCTCTCTCTCTAGAATTCTTAGCAGTTCATAGTTTGTTCAATTTGTTGTAAATTATGCTTCTTTGTTTCATTATTGTATTGTATCATTTGGCTCAAATTTAAGTTGTTGCATAAATTTTGGGCTTTTCGCTGTTCTGTGTTCTTGATTTTTCATTGGTGATATTGGTCCTTGATTTTGATGAGTTTCTGGTATTCATGTTTCTTCTCTTTTTGTCATCACTTTCCTTAATTAATTTTTTGATGCAAACATTAGTGGGTAAAACCTGACTGGTATCATATTAAAATATAGTTCAACTCTTGTATTCTTGGAAACCACATCTAGAAAATTGGAAACCAGTTCATATATATATAGACTGATTCAAAAATTGGCCCCAAAAATGAAGCCTCAAAGAACTGAAGAACTGAAGAAATAAAATACCTCTCATATTGGGAGGGTGGGAGCCGAGGGAAGGTGGGAGCTGAGGGAGGGTGGACAGTCACGGAGCTTGATGTTGATCAATGGCGAGACCACCGTCTCTGTTGCAGAGAAAGGGAAAATTGGAAACCACAACCAGAAAATTGGAAATCAGTTTATATATATAAACTGATTCAAAAATTTGCCCTAAAACTGAAGCCTCAAAGAACTGAAGAACTGAATAAACAAAATACCTATGATGTTGGGAGGGTGGTGTCGATACTGATGTTGGGAGGGTGGGAGCCGAGGGAATGTGGACAGTCGCGGAGCTTGATGTTGATCAATGGCGAGGGTATTTCTTCCCTGTTGAGACCATCGTCACTGTTGGAAGGTTATCTCCAGTTTCTCTAATCTGCTACCTCTGGTCGCGAGTTTCAGAAGAGAAAGAATTTCGAACGTGAGAGAGAGATCCACCATAGACGGAGTCGAGGAGAGAACGTGGGAGTTGAAGAGAAGGTGTTTGGGCAGACGTGGGAGAGAGAGAGAGAGAGAGCAAAGAGAGTGTTTGGGCGGAGATAAAAAGCAAATAGGAATCATCTGAGGCAGAGATACATTTTATACATTTTCAAAAATCTTTCTCCCTTATTATATAGATATGTATATGGATTAAAAAGTCTCATTTAGAATAATTTTTTTTAAAAAAATATATAAATATATAGATTAAAAAGTTTCATTTAGAATAATTTTTTTAATTTTTTTTAAAAATAAAATAATTATAATTTAAATATAATATTTTATCTTATTAAATTAAAATTTTACTTTATTTTATTTTTCACTATTTTAACTAAAAAAATTTCATTATAACTTATCCTGTGTCATTTTCAGAGTGTTCCATGAGGTTAAAAAGTGACCTCACTCTCACTCAGAAGCGTTCAATTTAACTACTCCATCCCTCCCTCTCTCTCATTGTATAGTTGGATATTAGCTGTCAATTATATTTATACTAGCATATCACTCGTGCTATGCACGGATTGTGTTTACAATTATCTATATATGTGAATTGTGATTTTTAAATATATTTTTTATTTTTTAAATGTCTTTTTTTTTCCATTTTTTATATTATATTAAAGTTTAATATTTTGATAATAATCATATGTGTTGAACCTTTCAAGAAATTTTTTTTATACTTATTTTTAATGCATTAAAGTGTTATTATGAGGGAGAATAATCATATGTGTTGGGACTTTTCAAGGAATTCATATGTGTTGGATTTCAAAGAATTTTTTTTATGCTTGTTCTTAATGCATTAAAGTGTTATTATGAGGGTAAGAAATCATATGTGTTAGACTTTTCAAGGAATTAAATGTCTTCTTTGTTCTTAATGCATTAAAGTGTTATTATAAGGGTAAGACTTGGGGGTTGGGAGAAGTTAATAAATGCTAAGTTTTTTTTTTTAAAATCAAAAAATCAA